CAAGCTAAAAATGTGAGCCTGTGCCAGCCACATGATGTTCAGCTGGGCCAGGTGCAAGGTCCTGCACATGGGTTGGCAGTCCTGGTACAATACAGGCTGGGGGATGAAGGGATTGAGAGCAGCCCTGCCGAGAAGGACCTGAGGGTGCTAGTGCACAAAAAACTGAACATGAGCCGGCAGTGTGCGCTGGCAGCCCAGAAAGCCAACCGTATCCTGGGCTGTATCAGGAGAAGTGTGGCCAGCAGGTCGAGGGAGGGGATTCTGCCCCTCTACTCTGCTCTTGTGAGACCCCACTGGAGTACTGTGTCCAGTTCTGGGGCTCTCAGCACAGGAAAGACGTGGATGTGATCCATTCAGATGCCACAATCCTCCTAGACTAGTGAAATTACATGAGTCCAGAGCAATTCTTCCAGTGGTCAAAGCAAAGAGGCTTAAGCCTCAGATGACACCTGTTAAGTTTGTACCCAGAGTGCTGTTACAAGCAGGATGATTAAACAGTGGTTCCTGCCACGTGCCATTTTTGAATGTTCTCAGCTTTGGATTTCTGGAGCTTTTGGACTTTAGTTTATTTCCCAGTGTTAAAATGTGTTCAGCTGTGTTCTTGTCGAAAGAATTCATTAGGTCTTCTGGAAAGAGTTAGCTTCCTTTCCTGTTGCAGGATAGTCAAGCTGTGTGCTATCTGGTGCATACTATAGAAAGCAGAAGTTAACCTGCTCTTCATTCTGGAACTGAGAAGTTAAAACTTCCTTTAGGTTTCGGCTTCAGCATGGAACTGTAGATGATGGGCATTTGCCAGGAAGACATTGGAAGTACTCCTCAGGTCTCTGCAGTACTTCAGCTGTTGCCTGCCAGTTCAGGACTTTGCAGGATTTCTGGTTTAATACATAAACAAAAGCTTTCGGCATTTCGTATTGTGTGTGAAAAGAAATATTGTAATTTGCTGTCTAATTTTTACGTGACCATACAGTTCCCAAAGCAAAATATTTATCTTTGTTTCTTTAAATATTTATTTTGATTTTATTGTTGCTGCTAATATTCTGTATTAATATTTAGCCAAAGCTGGTGGCAAAATGCATGAAGAACTTTGCCAGACAACTTAGAAAAGATCTGAGGTTGAGAGACAGAATAAAAGATGAGTGTATTTTTGGTACTTCTCTAACTTCACCCAGGATTTTATTTCATTCATCCATCTGGTCTCTGGAATGAGTGCAGTGAATTTGATTAAAGGAAATGAGGCTTATAAGTCTGAACCAGCATGCTGGCAGATCTGATGATGCTTCTGCGTCATTTAGCCCCTGCAGTTTTAGTCTCTCAGTGTGAAGCAAAGACGATGAAGGATAATTCCATTAATATAACTGCGTTAATACGTTAATAAAATAACTTTGAAAAATAAAAAAAGCTTTGCTGTCCTTTAAAAATAGCTTTTTCTTTTATTGTTTCTAATCTTTAGATAAAAAATGTGTGACTACATAAAAATCTACCTATAATTTGATCTGTTGTCTGAATTAGACGAAACTATTATGTACCTGCTGTGTAGGCCTCCAATTCATAGGTTGTCAAAATTATTGTGGAGTTTGTCCCTGAAACCCGTGAGATGAGGAGCAGTCCGATATGGTGTCTAGCTTTGTGTTGGCACCAATGGGAAAAATAAAATTGGTCAATTTTTGAAAGATGTAATCAAGAAAAAGCTCTGTGGCGTAGGCAGGGGAGAGCACGTTATCAGGAATTGTCATTTCAGCCTGTATGACTTCTGGAGTAAAAAATACCGGATATTTTTGGCCTTATTTTAAATGTTTTTCTGGTCTGTTAGTAGACTAATTGTTCAAAGACTCTGAAATAATTTTAACTGAGCTGTTTGAATTCTCACTGTTGCACAGACAGGTATGGTGCGCTGCGATACAGCTGTGGGAACCCCCGACTACATATCGCCCGAAGTTTTGAAATCGCAAGGGGGTGATGGTTATTACGGACGGGAATGTGACTGGTGGTCTGTAGGAGTTTTCCTCTTTGAGATGCTAGTTGGTAAGTAGGGGTTTGTTCTGCGAATGGCATTATGGTGGAGTCTCTGCTGTGCCTTTAGCTGTGCATCGCGGCGAGGGGGCTGGTTGTACCTCACTACCGAACAGCTGCGGGGCGATGCTCTTGTTTTGTTCCTGTTCCCCTTGCTCCTTGTCGCTCCTCTGCTGCGGCAGCTGTTTGCGTGCTTGCTCAGTGACTCGGTTCAGCCTAAACCTAATTCTTAGAACAGTTGTAACTGGGGTCAGCTACCTCATCGTCTCCTGCATGCTTGTGCTACCTCGGGGACAGTATGGGGTTTTCAGGGGTGCAGAGATGGGAAAGCCAGGACAGAAGCCCCTTTTTTCCCCTCTTTTTTTTTTTTTTTTTCCGTTTTCTCTTTCATCTCCTTTCTTCTTTTTTTCCTTTTGTTTTCCTTCCCGGTTCCTCCTTTTATCCCCCAGCACTAGCACTGGCTTGGTCAAAACAGCTCTGGAAGTATAGCTTGAGTCTTTCTTTTATGCTTGAGTCAGGATTTTCCAGTAAAATACGTTGTACTGCTATGGCAACTAACACAGAATATGATCTATTAAAGAGATGAGTCATCTGCATCTTAAAATATAGTGAGGATCAGTATTATAGCCTAGTAGCAAAATACTGATTATAGAAGGATGGAATTGAGCATATAATTATTAAAAATCCAAATCAGCATGTTTTGAGAATACTGCAGATCTGATGTTTCTGGTATCCTGAGCCAGGAAAGACATTTGGATATATGAGGCTATTGCAATCTCTGTCTCTTTCAGATTTAAGGCATTTTGACTTAGAAAAAGATGTTTTATAATTAATAGTCTCTTAAACAACTCTAGCAATAAATACAATTTTTCAGTTATTAAAATACTGCACGTAGTCATCGAGAATGTTTTCTCAGAGCCTCTCTCCTATGTTTGTTTATACAGAGGGAAGATTTTCCCCTTTTTCTTATTTTAATTAAAAATTTTTTAAAGTGAAAGTGGAGGGGTGTGGTTTTTGCAGGATCTAGGTTATATGAGGAAGCCTGTACCCAGTTAGGATAAAAATCCGTCTACCTTTCAGTGCAACACACTCTGGTGTTATTCTGAGGTTTCAGTATGGGTTGCTAAGCTTATGGTTTTTATTCAGCGTAGTTATTCCTAGAGTTTGGAGATGTCTGTTGGAAAATTTCTAATATTTCATTTTTCCTCCCAGAGTACCTCTTGTTTTAATACTGGAAGCTATACTGTTTTTACTAATTTTGTTGGTTTGTTTTTAGTACTCAACATCATTCTTTCCCATGTGTTTACTCTAGACTGAAAAGTTTGCTTTCATTAACTCTGTGATTTTTCACACATTCTGATGGCAATGAAATAACAATTCTGTTTCTGTTTCAGTTTTAGCCATTCCCTAATCCTACACGTGATTAACACTGTATGCTTTCAGCTGCTTGTTCAGCTGTTTGTTGGTGTTTTGGGTTTTTTTTGTTTCATATTTTGTTTGTTTGGGTGGGGTTTGGTTTTGTTTTCGTTTGTTTGTTAATTTTTTTTACCTCTGAAATGGATATATGATTTTCTATCTATGCAGTTATCTTGAAACGTTAAAACCTGGTTCACCATTATACTGGTAATTTTAAACACACAGCCTAGTTATGCCCTGTAATTTTTTTGTTTATTTGTTTTTGATTTTCTATCTATGCAGTTATCTTGAAACGTTAAAACCTGGTTCACCATTATACTGGTAATTACAAACACACAGCCTAGTTATGCCCTGTAATTTTTTTGTTTATTTGTTTTTCTCCATCATATTCCAAGCTCAGCTGGATTTCCTGTCTGGTAGCACCAGCATAGCTTCCTTCAGTGACTTGGTTTACAAACAGTATTTGAGGCACAGGTCAAATTCATTTGACAAACTGTCTAGAAAAGCATGCAGCTTCTCTTACATAACGATAAAGCTTTTCTGGTCCTTGTGTTTGAATTAAGAATAACGAGATTATTCAAGACAGATCATCTACTCCCACATACATATTGTTAAGTGACAGGCACTGGTAAATGGTTTGTAGTATTTGGTACAGGTTAACTTTTACCTTTGTTTGAACCCTTATCCTTTTATTATCCTGTTGTGTTTTTACTGTGATCAGAGGGCTGGAGCCCCTCTGCTATGGGGACAGGCTGAGAGAGTTGGGCTTCTTCAGCCTGGAGAAGAGAAGGCTCCGGGGAGACCTTATTGCCCCTTCCAGTACCTGAAGGGGCTACAAGGAAGCTGGGGGGGACCTTTTACAAGGGTCTGTAGTGACAGGACAAGGGGTAACGGGGTTAAATTGAAAGTGGGGAGATTTAGATTAGATCTCAGGAAGAAGTTCTTCCTGGAGAGGGTGGTGAGGCACTGGCACAGGTTGCCCGGGGAAGCTGTGGATGCCCCATCCCTGGCAGTGTTCAAGGCCAGGCTGGATGAGGCTTTGAGCAACCTGGTCTAGTGGAAGGTGTCCCTGCCCATGGCAGGGGGGTTGGAACTTGATGGTCTTTAAGGTCCCTTCCAACCCAAACCACCTTACAGTTCTGTGACTATTGATGATTTCTTTTTTTTCACCTTCAACAACCTGTAACAGTGTTAGTGTTGTTACTTCCATTCTCAAGTAGCCTTATCAGTTTCAAGATCCCATTAACAACAGTTGTTTTTTAAAACCTTTGTGGACTTTCATTGTTTTCTCTGGATAATCTTACTTGGTTTCTCCATATCCCACACACTAGTAGAAACTCTCTTTTTTTGTTTGTGTTTGCATATCAGATTCTGCTTCATGTCTTCTAAAACTTACACATTAAAAAAGAACAGAAAGTGGGGTTTTTTTCAGTCTTAGTAAAGATGGATCATTAGCGAAAATGGCACTACTCTTTGTGTGCTTAGCTAAAAGCTAAAATGTTGGTCAGGGGAGGAATCCTAACATTAGTTCAATGATTTATGGCATTTGTGCGTTTTTGAATGTACCTAGCTTTTGAAATGCTCAGTACCTTGTGGGAAGCCTGCAGTCGAGCAGGCTGCCTGCCCTGCCAGGGCATCCCCACCAGCACACAGCACACCGGGAGGGATGCAAGGGCCTAGCCCACAGGATTGATCGTTCACCTCCATTAAACCTGTGGTTACTTGGGAGAAAGGATTTATGTAACAGTTGCAACCTCTTGAGCGGTGACCCAAACCTTGTGTATATTGAGTGTTGTCAGTTAACTTGAAAGGAAAATACCTTTATCCATGCTGATTCTTTTCAGTTGGCCCAGTTTCACCTTTCTGAAGGACATTTGCAAAGAAACCAGACTCAACTGCAGCCTGTGCTGCCAGCCTTTGGGTGAGAAAGGTCTATGATTTTAAAAGCCACCTGCCCATGTTAATATGGGCACCCAAGCTAATATAATTTGTCAGTCAACAAGATTCATTAATTTGGGATTAACAGTGCAGTAACACACTGTGAAGGCTCCTGCTCAGAGCTGACTTGCCTTAGGCAGCTGCAGGAGTAGGTAGCATCGACCTCTGTGCCTCTGAAACAGCCTTCGGTGGATTCCCTCCAACAAACGTGCGTTTGCAAATCTTTAATGGGTTTTGGTCCGTTATACCTGTGGAAGCTCTTGAAGATGGGGGTTTATGTCGGTGTCAGCCATCATGTAAATTAGAAAACACAGTCCTCAGGTACAAGAAAAGATGTAATTCACTGGGCAAAACTTTGGTAGTGATATGCAGGATGGAAAACAGTTTAGTTTCCTTCTGCAAAATGCCTGTGTTACAAATATTTTTGGTGGTACACATTATTTTGTACCCTGCCTTACATATTTTTTTTCTTTTAAATCAAAGACTATTTTAGGTAAAGCTGCTTGTAGTCCTTTTCTCTGTATCTTTTTTTTTCCCCAACTTACATGCCTTGACCATTACTGGAGATCACAGACCATTTTCTATTTTATTTTATTTTCTATTTCTATTTTATTTTCAGGTGATACTCCTTTTTATGCAGACTCGCTGGTAGGAACATACAGTAAAATTATGGATCATAAGAACTCGCTACATTTCCCAGATGATGTGGAAATCTCTAAGCATGCAAAGAACCTTATCTGTGCCTTTTTAACTGATAGGTAAGTGCTCTTATTATTCTGGAACTGTTTTTATTTTGGATGGTAGTAGTCCACGTACGGTGTAAAAATTAATCCCTTCCATTACTTCTTCTAATCTCTGTTCAAATCTCTTCTGCAAAATCTCCTGCTCACTAGCTTTTCTTTTGGGGTGTTTTTTCCAGGTATTGTACGTTATTTCCATGAGCAGTTCTGACAGCTCTTGTTAACGACACAGTTTGTGCCAGAGAAATCCTTCCAATTGCTCTGCATAACAGTAACAAACCTGTAAGGCTGAAAGTAATCTGTAAGCTCCAAGGCAGGGACCAAATTGTTGTGCTCTGTGTCTGCGACGGCATTGCTTAAAAAACTGAAAGCAATTGCTTTTATGTAAATAAGCATGTATTTATGGAGTTTGTTTAAGCTTTCTTAAAATGTCTGAACTTCTTTTCATTTGCTTTGTTGTATTAATTGAGAAGAATAGTAACAAACCCCCAAGGATACTGTTTTGGCTATAAATAGATCCTCAGCTCCCTTGGTGGAACCAAGCCGTTGATTGATATTAAGCTGTGTGAGCTTGTTCTTGACCTGAACACTCACTTCCTTTAGTTTCAGAAAGCAGACATCATCATCCATTTCCTCGATTTAAAAGATCACTGTAGGTCCATAATTAACTCTGGAGCAGTGGTGCCTCCTTACGCTTTGCTGCAGTCAGCTGAACTTGGCTAGAGCAGAGAATCTAGCCTTTATGGAATGAGGGTTTAGGGGGAAAAAAATGCCTTACGGTGGGTTTTGCGTTCAGAGAGAGACTGTTTGCTCTGTTGAGCAAGCTTGTGGTTACTCAGGAAGGATGTGCTTTAACAGCATTTCTCACCCTTAGCAGCTTTAGGGTAGAGAGAAAATACGGGTAGAATTCAGTAATGTAAATGCGGCGAGGTGTACTTCCACTACGTGTGTCCGTCTTCCTGTTTCTGTTTAATACAGTCCTCGGGTGATTTATTTGAAACAGATGCCTTCTTTCCGTGTGCGTGATCGCTGCTGAAGCACTGAAAAAAGGAAGAAGCATCGACCCTGTGATTTATTACTTCTTTTACATGCATTGTTTTAACGTCCTGCTCTTGTAGATAGTTTTAAAGAGAGACTACTTCCGGTCAAACTCGAAGTTTCTTGTTGCACTTAAGATTTACTTCACTGCAAATGCTGGCAAAAGATGTGTCAGGGTTAGTTATGGGGCAGAGGATAGAATTAAAGTATTTATTTCAGGCCAGCTGTGAATAACTGTTTTGTGCAGTAAGTTAGACCTTCCTTCACTTGCGTCTTACGGTTTGTCATGTGGTTTGGCAGCCACAGAACTTCTGCAGTTCTTTCTCCCGAGGGTGTTGGGTTTTTGTTTGTGTTTTTAGCTTTTTCTTCGTTTTTGCCTCAGTGCTTGCTTTCTTGCTTTACTCCCCACGTGGCAGACTCCAAATTCTGGACATTTTAGCCTTGGCAGGGAGAGTGCATGCTAAGAAACAGAGTACATTTTATATAAGAAACTACAGATCAGTGGTTGGTGGTTATTTAATTTTTATTTGACCATTACTGTGGCGTCCACAGACAGTCTTTACTGAAAGTTTCTTTGCTGCTTATGAGCAAGTCAGATTTTAAATAACAAGAAAGAGGTGCTGTTTTTTCCTAATGTGAATTTGGCGTAATTGCTGTGTTTAGGGATGTGCGACTTGGGAGAAACGGGGTAGAAGAAATAAAGCATCACCCTTTTTTCAAGAGTGATCAGTGGAACTGGGACAACATTCGAGAGAGTAAGTAAACTAGTGTAAAGGTTCTTTTGTTTTAATTCAGTGTTTGCAGTAGTAGAAATTAAAAGAAAATGAGGCTGTATAAAGCCAGTAACTTTTTTATTGAGAATCTTGCTCAAACCTCCATATTTATAAAAGCTCTTATCAGGGAGGGTGTTTTCTACTGGAATTATCCTCATCTTTATCACGCTTTTAACATCCAGATCTGCTCTTCAAAACAGAAATCTGTATGTTTTAAAATTCTGACTAAAAAGAATGCATGTTAGGTTCTGTTTGTGGATTTTGTGGTTTTGTCTTGGATTTTTTTGTTGTTGTTTTTAACCTTCTGTAGTTAAGACAGAAGTTTAACAGTGGTCTTGCCAGTTTTACTGCTTTTCATTTAAGGCATAGTGAACTTGATAGCTTTGGGAAAATAAACAAAGTATGTCAGTTCAGATCACAAGTTTGATTGTAACTTCTGAAGTCATCGATTTACTGAAGTTTCTTTGAATGATGATTGTATTTAGCATTCTGTTCTCAAATGTGATTACCTTAGCAAATACATTTTGTGCATTAGCTATTCTGTGCATTAGGCAACTAATTTAAAAATAGATTTCTGTAGAAAAATTGTTCACAGTACTATTTACAGATCTGCTGCATAGTTAATACATACTTAACTGGCATGGCCCAGTTATAGGCTTTTTAACATTGTAGGGATACAAGTATATAGCAAGTGGCTGAATCTTGGAGTGAAATTGATGTTTTCTCCCATTTTTATAGCTGCTGCTCCTGTTGTGCCTGAGCTTAGCAGTGACATAGACAGCAGTAATTTTGATGACATTGAGGACGACAAGGGAGACGTGGAAACCTTTCCAATCCCCAAAGCCTTCGTTGGAAACCAGCTGCCTTTTATAGGATTTACCTACTATAGAGACAATTTGTATGTGATACTTTGATACGCATTTTTAGAAATGCACCTGCAGGTTTTTATTATATCCTATCCTTTTTTTCACTTTAGGTAACATCATTTCTTCATTGCTTTGTATTAATTTATGTCCAGTTGTGAAGATACAAAATACAGAATTTAAGTAGACTATATAATTTGCTACTATTTTGGTTATTTTGATAATGTGATTAAACACTGGATTTTTATATGCAGACAATAATATAGTCTCTTAAAAATCCTTTAGGGTTAAAATACTGATAGATTTGTAATTTAGTTCTAAAATGGCTTTTTATTAGCAACTTTAGAAAAAAGTTTACACAACACAATAGCTTGCTAGGGCTCAACTTGAATAGTTAAGAAATAATTGTACTAATTAAAAAATTATAAGCTGCTGTGGATTTGAAAACATTGTACTCCATTTAAGAAAAGACTCAAATCAGACAGATGCACTCACGCTGAAATAAAACAAGTTTCATTCTGAGAATAGTGTAGGAAAAATTAGGACTTGACAGAATTGATTAAAGTGAATTGATTGGCAAGGTTGCCAGAGTTGGTGAAAACTTGAATAAGAGCTGGAGGGATTTGGTTTTGTTTTTGACAGGTTGCTAAGTGACTCCTCTCAGTCTTGCAGAGAAAATGAATCCGTGCAATCTAGTAAAAATGAGGTTAGTGCCTTTTTTTCAAAAGTATTAATGGTATGATTAACTAATTTTAAGTCTGTTAAGAAAAGAATAAATCTATAATCAGTTTCCAAGAAATTTTCGGGGGGGCTTTCTGTTGTCTAATGGTCCTCAATAAAAATGGTGTTTTCTATTTACAGGACAGCAAGGAGGTAAGTATACTATTTGAATTATGGAAGGAATCAAAAAGTTCCTACATACATAATTTGTGTGAATGTGAAATATCTTAAATGTTTATTCACCACAATGTTAACAGTAAACAGTTGTGTTTTGAAACAGCTGTACTCCAGCATTAAGGTGCTACAGTATAAATATGGATGAATACAGGTTTTTCTCAAATTCTTTTGGCATCTAGGATCTGTTTGGAAAACAAATGTGTAAGGCTCTGTTTGCCACAAACAGTATCCTTGGGAAGGTTGTGAATTTTGGCTCCACGCTTGGCTGAGTGATTCATGGCTGATTTACTCAGAATTTCGAAAAATAAATTGTCACCTACAGTGATAGAGGAATGTTTAAATCCTGCTCTCAGTTGAAGTGAGTGTATGGAGCATGTTTATCCAGCTTTTGAAGGTCGACAGTTGAACTTTAATATGCAGGTGACAGGAGAATGCTGTGGAATTTACTTACTTCATTATGTTACTTAAACATCTGTATTATTGAAGTGTAGGTAGCATATTGTTCACATTTCTTAAAGCTTCTAACTCCTTTTCAAAGGGTAAAGAATATGTAAAGGAAATGCATTATGTATTGACCAGCATAAATGTAAATGCAAATATTTATTAGACTGCACTTCCTTCCTGTCATTGCTGAGGAGATGAATAGTTCTAGATATTGCTGAACAGATGAATAGTGTTAGAGTTTCCCATTTAAAAAGAAATGCTACTGCCATTTAAAATACATAGTGTCACATTTGTGATGTCTGCTTTATGTTTTGGTAATAAATATAGTTGGTGAAATTTTGCATTTCATTTCTGGTAACTTTTTTCATTCGTATTATCTCAAGCAATGAATCTACAGTTTTGATGTCCCTTTCAGTGTCCCTGTTCTGGGAATCTTCTAATTGTAGCAATTATAAAGTGTTTTGGAAAACCACATTTCTACATGTTGTGTATGGGGGTTAGAGGAGGAGGGGAAAGAGAGGAAAAGAAATGCAATTGAAAGCCTTGAAGACATGATTCCAAAACTTATTATTTATAATTAATTTCATGAATTTTTTTGTGCTTGACTCACAATTTCTTTTTAATATTTTAGTAAGCCAGACAAAGCATTCCCAAACTTGAAAACCATTTGCTAGCTTCTCTATGTGTTAGACTAAGAAATTATTCTTCTCTGTGTGAGGTCAGTGAGCCTGCCTACTAATATTCTCTGAATTTTGTCCAATTTGCTCATGAGTCCCCCTTCTTGGTTTTTAATTTTAGTCAGAAAAGACTATCCCAAAAATTCTGCTGCAGTGGAAAGTCTCTGTCTGCAGAGAAGGAGAACAGTGAAGGACCAGTAACAACATTTTTGCCCATCGAAATGTTATGACTCACAGTCTTGGCACGCAGTTCTGCGATGGCTAGATACAGTGGAGCATGCAGCAAATTTCGTTGCTATGGTTCTGTCTGTGAAATCGTGAGGATGCCTTGTAACCACGTAACTATCTAGTGACCGTTTAAAAATAATATAGTGGAAGATTGAATTAATTTTCCTCGCTTTCCCTTTTTTTATTGTTGTTTAATAGAATTCCGCTTGTTTTATGTGATACTATTTTGATGTGAGCCATGCTTTTTTGACATTTTACACAGTTTCAGAAAAAACTAAGCAAGCTAGAAGAACAGCTCAGTAACGAACTACAAGCCAAAGATGAACTAGAACAGAAGTACAGGTGAGACTGTTCTGACATGTTTGGTATGTTTATAAATAAGTTACACCTTTTTGGTTTTGAATACTTTAAAGCACTTTAATCCACTTTAGGGATTTTCGACCCCGCTAGCAGACCTCGCAGTAAATTGCTGGCTTAATTCTCGCTGCTCCTGTGACCTCTGTGTTATTTTGGTAGCCCCTCCCACCCCTCTCAAACTTCCGTAAGAATCTCTCTATTGTTTGAGTGATTTGAAGCTTCATGTGATTGCTGAAAATAGAGTACCTTATATAATGGGACCCATCTAAACTTTCTAATTTCTGTATAATCAGCAGGGTTTAAAAATATTTTTCAAATTTCTTCAGGTCTACCAATACTCGTTTAGAGAAGATAGTGAAAGAGCTGGATGAAGAGGTAAGTCCATAGTGATTTTTTTTAATTGGAATTAGAGCTAACATTTGTGTGGAAATTCATGTGTTTCCTTAGGGAACAGCGAATTACTTTGGAGTAGCTGTGTATTTATAGCAAGTAATACCATTTCTTGATATTCACAAGCATGAAGTTGTTGTCACCACTAAAATAATTTCATTATGATTTCTGTACTGTAACTACACATTTATTCCCAGAATCTGTTCTTTATTGTGTTTTTAATTCGGAAGACAATGTGATATAAACATCTCCTATACAATTCGAAAAATTGAAGATGTGAGAGTGATGTTGCCAGAGGTGGAAGACCATTCTTTCCGTTGTTCAGACGGTGTCAGTAGAAGGACCCCATTTCTTGCTCAGCTTTACACCATAGTGCTACTAGAAATTTGTCATGTCTTCAGAGGATGTGTGCAACTTAATGTATTGCTTATCCAGGTGCCTCTCAAGACCTTACATTCATTACATGGATGTTCCTGTGCTTCTGGAGTGGCTGCGAGGCAGGTCTGCCAGATTGGTCAGATACAGATGACCGAATGGTCTTTTAAGTTGTAAAAGCTCCTGGCTATGGTCATCCTGGGCTGGATTTGACCACGTGTTCTCATACACTGTGTTTGCACAGGCAAATAGACTGTGTCTTTCTCTGTTGTAAACTGAAATGTGTGCGGGAGCTGTCTTTTTATCATATCTACCACCATTCTGTAAGTAATTAGCGGTGCTTTTGGTTTTTAAATCTATCCAGATAACTTCAAGGAAAAATGTGGAGTCTGCAGTCAGACAGTTAGAAAGAGAGAAGGCTCTTCTTCAGCATAAGAATACAGAATACCAGAGAAAAGCAGAACACGAAGCAGATAAGAAGCGCAATTTGGAAAATGAGGGTATGTTGAACCATGGCTGAAGGGTCTTGTGTTGATGTGGGTTTTTAAAAGATAAAATAAACGAATTGTAGTTCAATTTGTAGCTTTTTCATGACAGTGATTAACAATGTTGAATTGTTTTTATTGTAGTTAACAGTTTGAAAGACCAGCTTGAAGATTTAAAAAAGAGGAATCAGAACTCTCAAATATCCAATGAGAAAATCAATCAACTACAAAGACAGGCAAGCTAAGTTTCTATGTGTATATTTTAAAATAATAGCTGTTTTGTTAGTAGTGGAGGGAATTGTAATGGAGTTTTAAAAGCTGTTCTTTCTTGTCGTGTTTTGGTGTTAAAACATAATCTTAAAATACACTCATTATTTCTTTAATCCATAAAATCTAGTATTCTGGAGTAGAAATGGCAGTTTTCATTTTGTAATTGTTTCTGAAGTGTGTTTTTTATCATCTGTAGTTGGATGAAGCCAACTCTTTGCTGCGATCAGAGTCTGATACTGCAGCCAGGTTAAGGAAGAACCAGACAGAAAGCACGAAGCAAATCCAGCAGCTGGAGGCCAATAATCGAGAATTACAAGATAAGAACTGCCTGCTAGAGAATGCTAAACTCAAACTGGAGAAGGACTTTCTCAATCTGCAGTCAGCTCTAGAATCAGAAAGGAGGGATAGAAGTCATGGATCAGAGATTATCAGTGATTTACAAGGTATTCCTACAAGTGGGCTGCAGTTAAGCTTGCTTCTCATTTCAGAAATAAAAATAGGTGTTGATGATGTTATTTGAGCTTCACATTGTGACTAGATGAGCATGCTGTCCTGTACTGTGTTCTGTGTGGGCACACATTTCTGTGTTCTTTAAGTATGGGCACACATTTAAGAGAACGCATTTGTTAACATTTACAGTATGTTATTGATAACTTCTAGAATCACCCTGAAGAAATGTTCTTAGTAATAAGTAGAAGCTGTTACATATGAAAGTTTTTATCTCTAAGTAGGTACAGTACATTCTTTCTCCACACGCTGCCCAGCCTCTTTGACGGTTTGGTCATTTTTAGGTCGAATATCTAGCCTGGAAGAAGAAGTGAAAAGTGGCAAGAGTGCATTAGCCAAACTGGAAATGGAGAAGAGACAATTGCAGGAAAAACTTACAGATTTAGAAAAGGTAACAGCACTTCTGAGTGTGCACTGGTGTTACATTCTTACGGAGTTTTTAAATTTGCACTTTTACTGCTTGAGACAGACCGATTTTTTTTAATTATTTTTTTTATTTTTTTTACAAAATCTGTGCAAAACATAAACTTTGTTTTCAGTGTTTATTCTTTTTTTTGTTTTGGTTTTTTTGTTCTTGTTTGCAATATGACAAGTGGGGGGAAAAAAAGACAGGATTTCCCTTAAGACCATACTACATTATTACTGAAATACATGAACTCCAGTGTGTAGCGTGTCAGTGCAGAAGTAACATTTAGTTTCATCTGTCGGTCTTTTTTTAAAAATTCTCAATATTGCCAAAAAATAATAAATGTTCTGCCGATACTTTCTTGACAAATGTGTCACGGAAACAAAAGTGCTGAAAAAATTCTTCAGTAAACTTAGTCTTTGAGCCACTCTTCCTACAGAATGTTGGTTGTTAAGGCAGTGTTTCTATAATTGTTGGCAACTGGGGGTGTCATTGTGCGTTTTTGGAGCGCTTTGCCATCCAGAGAAAGACATTTGTAGAAATGAGCTCTCAGCTCTTCAGAGTCTGTGTTTTCTCTTCTGCTCTTAGCATAGTTCTAAGCAGTATGTTGCCATTTTTGTCCCAAATTTTGTCTTCAACCTGGATTTCTTCTTGAACAGGAAAAGAGCAACATGGAAATAGATATGACGTATAAATTCAAAGTTATGCAGCAGAACCTTGAGCAAGAAGAAGCTGAACATAAAGCCACAAAGGCACGGTTAGCAGATAAAAATAAGATTTATGAGTCCATAGAGGAAGCAAAATCTGAAGCCATGAAAGGTATGATTTGACACCACAGTTGGACTTAGGCAGAAATTACGCAAAGTACACAATACAGTCTTTTAATGCTGGTGGAAGCCTAAGGCTTCGTTCCTCAATTCCACTGTTCTTTTAAAATACGGTTTGTGTTGAAAAAATCAGTTATAGTCCCTTTGTCCTTGCTTTGCTAGGTTAAAGACACACTGTTCTAGTTTTGGAGTAAAACAGGTTCTCCATTGCACGTACTACTAACTTATTTTCTGTGCTAGTGTATTCTGAATTAATTTTTCTTACATTACTAAAATGGCTTGAAACATTTTTGTTGAGACCTTACGTGTTCCTACTCAGTATACGCATACCTTTTCCTGTCTTCCTAAAGAAGATACATCAACAACATAACAGTTTAAATATGTCGACCAGATAGGAGTTAGAAACAGCAAAGCCTTTGCTAGGCTTCCATAGTCACTGTGCATATACTGGTGCACCTCATGACCATTGAAATATTTTAGGGATAGTTACCAAATGATTCTAGAAGATAGGTCTTCGTTTTGATTTAAATGGCTTATGTTGATTGCAAAAAAACATTGCTTTATTTAAAAAGCTACCTACAGATCCTGCCCTTCCAGTTGCAGAGCACTCACAAAAATGTTGAGCATGCAGATGTTAGGAAGAGGCACAAATGATTCAGTAATAGTGGCTGAATCACGTGGCATATCAGGTTCCAGAATAGCTTCAACTCTTGATATGATTTCAAGTTATCACAGTCAAAGCAACACTTCTGGAGTTTTAGATGGATTATTTTGAAAAATACCCCCCTTTTATCTGCCTCAGGTGTGTTGCAGACTGGAACTTACCTTGAAACTTAAAAGTGGGACATGGCTATCAGTCAGGAATGTTGCACAAGCATCCTCTGGGTGTGGGTTTGCTGTGAAGATTCTAACAACACTTTCCAGCAATCCTTCTGTTCAGTCTTAAAAGGATAAATGTGTTGCTTATAGTTAACATGGGATAGACATCCTCTCCTCCCATCACCCTCAAAAATCCCCTGTTTACACTGCCTGATGCCTTAAATCTCTTATTTCACAGAAATGGAGAAGAAACTTTTGGAAGAGAGAGCTTTAAAGCAAAAAGTAGAGAATCGGTTGTTAGAAGCGGAAAAGCAGCGCTCAATGTTGGACTGTGATCTCAAACAATCACAACAGAAAATCAACGAGCTCCTTAGGCAAAAGGATATACTAAATGAAGATGTAAGGAACAGTGACAAAAGAAACCTTATTTTCAATGTAGTGATATATTTTCCCTGTTACATCTATTTTTCAGGAATGTTTGTGAATGAAAATGACAGCAACTTTTCCCTTCTCTGTATTTGTATCTTTTAAAAGCCTACTTTATGGAGTGTGGTTTCATTCTTCTGAAATACATCAGCATTATTGATCTTAAAGTTTTTCTTCTTTTTGTAAAATGTAAAATGCTGTGAGATTGACATGGAAAAACTAGCTTATTTGTTGTGTGCTAATGCCTTCACTCAGGCAACAGCTCTCACAGCAAAAGATGTGAGCATACTGTACAAAAACATAGAGGAAGTCAATAAGAGACACTGTTTAAATGTTGCTTTCCTGGGTAGGTCTGTAAAATTCACAGGTTTCTCTTTCTTTTTCAGGTAAAAAACCTGACGTTAAAAATAGAGCAAGAAACACAAAAGCGCTGTCTCACTCAAAATGACCTCAAGATGCAAACGCAACAGGTCAACACCTTGAAAATGTCAGAGAAGCAGTTAAAACAGGAGAATAACCATCTTCAGGAAATCAAATTAAGTCTGGAAAAACAGAATAATGAACTCCGGAAGTACGCAGAGTTGCTTTATGTTTATCAGTGGTGTTACTGATTTGTAATTGGTTCTGGGCAAAAGCTGAGAGCGAAAGTGATTTTTTTAAAAATTTGCTGCACAGAATATGCTGTTCTACAGTGCAAAACTTAATTGTGGCTTAAAGTATTTTACAGTGACTAGTTGAGATTTGCCCTAGGGATCCAGCATGTATAGATTTGTAGTAAGAGATGTTCGTTCTCCTGAAAATAAAACCCCCAGCTTAAACACAAGAGTGTGAGGACTTAACACAAAATCTGGGCACTTGGGGTTGGTTTTTTAAATGACACAGGACTTAGTGAAGAAGAAAGTTGCTGGTGTTACTAGATCAGGAGAGCTTATTAGAGTTGGAAATGAATACCAGTACAGGGCGGTGAAGTACAGCCATTGGAAATACACCCTGCTAAAGATGTTTAAACACGTCTGTGGGACCTTCAGATAGGAGTTGTGTTAAATCCCAGGAGTTCTTCAGGGCCTCACAAGTAATATTTGCACCTGATAGTAAATAAACATTTTTTTACATAAAGAACATTGGTGTGTGTGACCAGACCAGTTCAGCACGTATATCAGATGCATCTCATTCTTAGCTCCTTTATGACTTCTGATGGTTTGTGTCCTTGTGCTTTACCTCTTCTGTCAGCGAGATGCAGTTACTCACGCAGAAGGCAGCTCCACCTGACGGTTGCTGTGATGTGAAACACTGGCAGAAATATTTTCTTTGTTATGGGACTGATTAATTGACTTTCGGAGTTGTTTTAGTAACAGATGAATTCAAGGAATTACGCATGTCAAAGAAGACAGGCATGTTTTTACAGACTGAGCTCTCGCAAACGAGACACCAAACAATCTGTCAGATCAGTGACGTTTTACAGGGAAATAAGATTCTGTCAGTGGCTGTTTGCTTCATCTGTGTCTCTTTCTGGTTAAACTGTGTGACACTGCTGTAGTTAAAGTGTTAACAGCATTAAACTGACTTCTTAGGAATGCAGTCTTCTCAGCTGTACAAATGAAAAAGAGAACTTTGTACCCAGAAGAAGCCTCAGGTTTAGGTGCTGATCACGCTTTGGTCAGGAAATGACTGAAGATGTGCGGTGTGATTGCTGCCTTTTCACTGGTTTGGAAGATCTTCCTATCTTTCATTTTAAAGTATGTTATTCCTTTCTAGGGAACGTCAAGATGCAGATGGACAAATGAAAGAGCTTCAGGACCAACTTGAAGCTGAACAGTACTTCTCGGTGTGTTTTATGCTGCTTTATTTTTGTACTAATGTGTTTGCTATCGTTAGCTTTTATTCTTCCTCCTCAGCCGTCAGGCATTTGACACCTCTAACTTTAAGGCTAGCTTTTTTCTTGGTTCTGTCTTCAGGCTTGTCTGCAGCCTTGTCTTCATCGCTCCCTGATTACTGAGCAGTGTGAAAGCTCACGTTAAGAAATCTCCCAGCTTTGGAAGGCAGTCCCAAACACACTTTAGAGGGAGGGAGGAAGCAAGCAGTTAATTCCTCCTTTTCCACAGTGGAAATAATTTTCTGTGTGTTTCCAGCCTTTTGCATTCAGCATCTGTGCCATGCTGCGTGGCAGAGAGGAGCTGTAGTCTCAGAATCACTTGGTGTGACAAAACGTGTGAATTTAAGGCTTGGAAGGACATTTTTGTATTACAGCCAAACTGTTGGGAGGTTTTGCTTTATTGTGGTAGGGTACAACAGAGTCAATAGGCATTGTGCTTAAAGTGCCCGCTAGCGTAGGCATGCCACTTGGTTTAACAGTGCACAGCCAGGTGCAGTGCAGGTAAGGGCCAAAAGGCTTGCTTCAGAATTTGGGGAAACCTAAGATTTTTGCTACGGTCTTTACATCCGTGAGGAGAGGGACAGTCTGAAGTTTCAGTAGATCAGGAAGTTGTACACATTGAAGGAGAGAAAGTGAGATTTGAGGTGAGTTGACTGCGGTGGATAGGCCGGAGAGGGACAGTCTGACTTGAAAGCCCTGCAGTAAACCCTCTTGCAGTTGTCTGTCAGTTTGCCTTACTCAGGCATCTGAGTGGACAGAGCACTATAATTTTTCATTCATTTCCTCTAGAGCTCTAGATTTGCATCCATTTAACAAAATTGTAAACTTCAAATGCTTTTCTAATCTGTTTTTCCCTTCCTCCTATACTTCTTTTTACTCTTTAACTGTTGTCTTGTTTCCATGATTGTATGGTTAAACTCTAAATTCTACACAATTTGCCTACATCACACAAAGATTTAAAATAGTAAAGAAAAATAAATTAATGATTTTCCTTGCTTCTGATACTTTCAATTTTCTACCAAACAGTGATTTTTCACATTCAGAGTCTCTTTAACAGTATGTTTACAAGCATATAAATAGTCTATCACGTGTCTGTCCATTCATAAATACGCAAGTTAATAAAAAGAACAACAAAGGAAGTAAAAGAACTGAAACATTTGGGAATGAGGGTGATGTTCAGTTAATTTTAGAGAAGGCATTGCACGAGGCCACAATTAGACTCTTATTGAGAGTGTGGTTAAAGAATTGCATACAGGGTCATCTTGTATAATATTTTGTTTGCTTTCAAGCTAGAAAATGCAAGCCACGTCCTTATCTTTCAAATCTTAAATTCTAGACTCTGTATAAGACACAAGTTCGTGAACTGAAAGAAGAATGTGAGGAAAAGACCAAGCTTTGTAAAGAAATGCAGCAAAAGATACAGGAGTTACAGGATGAGAGGTAGGTTTTACTAGTTGTACTACTGATACGTAAAAGGTGAGGATGGCTTTTTGGTGTTGGGTTGGTTTTTTGTTTGCTTTGGGTTTTTTTTTGTTTGTTTGAAGTTGTTAACTTATAACGACAATTTGCAGAGATTCCTTGGCTGCTCAGCTAGAGATTACCTTGACCAAAGCGGATTCAGAACAACTTGCGCGTTCCATTGCTGAAGAGCAGTACTCTGATCTGGAAAAGGAGAAGATTATGAAGGAGCTGGAGATTAAAGAGATGATGGCTAGGCATAAGCAGGAGCTTACTGAGAAAGATGCCACCATAGCCTCTGTGAGTAACACGAATCGTTGTTTTTGTAGAGGCTTACATGAGCTTGAGTTTTATTTGCAGTTTGAGTTATTCCTTGGTATTTACCATACTTTGAGGTGATATTCAACTATACCTGGCACTCTAAATTTTTTTCATTTCATTCATAGAAAATAATGTTTTACCATGTTTCTCCCATGCATCTCTGGTCACTCTTTCTTCTGTGCCCCTACCCCTCTTACATCTAGTCCTCTTAGCCCAACTTCATTCTGCAGCGTTTTATTCTGTCCTGTAATGCTTTCACGTGCGATACGAGTTCTGTTATGTGATGCCATGTGCTTTTTGTTGTGCAGCTGGAGGAAGCAAATCGGACGCTAACCAGCGATGTGGCTAATCTTGCCAATGAGAAAGAAGAACTGAACAATAAACTAAAGGAAGTACAAGAACGTATGTATTCTCTGAAACCAGTTTTGCTCTTTAATAGCACTATTTCCTTTTGTAACGAGCTTTCATAGAATTCTTTTAACTGCCTTGCTACAGAAATCACAAAGCTAAAAGAAGAAGAAGCAAATGTAGGAAATATTAAAGCACAATTTGAGAAACAGTTGTTGAACGAGAGAACACTGAAAACCCAGGTAAGCAAATGTATGTAAATGAATGAAGAGATAATGTACAAGAATCAAGTAATTTTAGTCGAAAACTGTCCATGGTAAAGCATCTATATGTACCGTTAATCCCTTATTCTTTTTTTTTGCCCCTGAAACAAAATATATCGAGGGGGTTTTTTTGTTTGTTTTTACTAAGTAGACTAAGTGTAATGAAATTCATCCTCATGAGTTTCATAGAGGAAACTCCTAATCCAGATGCAGTCCACCAGCAAAAATCATAATTTCAGTGAAATGAATGCATATTTTATTGGCTTCCATCTTGATTTATATTCCTCTGTAAAATTCCATCAGACAGTGTATTTTTTAATTTTAATCCAGATGAAAAAGGAAGAGAACATTTAAATGAGTAGAAGTGTTCACAGCTAATGCTTGCTTAAAGTGAAAATGGCATCGTTGTCTTCTTTTTGATATACTATATTGAATTTAAATGACTCTATAGTACTGGATATGCTGAGGACTTAGGTTGCAGTTATATTCAAAGTGTCTGGTCGTGGATAGGAGAGAAGACTTTATTTCTTCACAATATAACTCTGTGTGTTTATTGGTGTGGTTTTTGTAATTTTTTTTGTTTCCCCTGGGAAGGCTGTGAATAAACTGGCCGAGATCATGAATCGGAAGGGTCCAGTCAAGCGTGGAGCTGACACTGATGTACGGCGGAAGGAGAAGGAAAATAGGAAACTGCATATGGAACTGAAGTCTGAACGAGAAAAGTTAACCCAAATGATGATCAAATATCAGAAGGAAATCAATGAAATGCAGGCAGTAAGTTCCTTTTGCAAATATAAACAGAGGTAGCATATTCTGTAATTCTCATTGAATTGATGCAGGCTTTAAGGCAGCTTATACAGTCTCTGTTCCTGAATTTCCTGTGACCAGAAGACATGTGCAGTATAAAGATTGGCTGCAAAGTCTGTGTAGTTTCACAGTTTTATTTTCTCTAAGTAACTGAGTATTGTGATAATAGGCAATTTTTAAATTTATCCTTACAGCAAATAGCAGAAGAGAGCCAGATACGGATTGAACTCCAGATGACTCTGGACAGCAAAGACAGTGACATTGAACAGCTTCGTTCACAGCTACAGTCATTGCACATTGGTCTAGACAACAGTAGCATTGGCAGTGGACCTGGAGATGCTGAGGCAGATGATGGATTCCCTGGTATGTTAATTTCATTAATATTTCTGCAGTAATTGTTTATTGATCAGTGGTTTACCGTAGAAGCTTGAGTATTAATATAAGGCTCTGATTCTGTGGGTTTTTATCTTCAGGTGTTTCTACCATCTTATCAAGGCTTTGATAGTGCTTACTATCCACATCCACCTACTAACTAAGTCCATCTGTAATCATACTTCATCTTAGATGTATTTAAAGAATTGTCTTTAAAAAAATTCTGTTGTCCTCCATTAAAGCGAAGTATTTTTTTCCTCTTTTTGTTGTGGTGGTTACTTTGCAATTACTGTGTTATGTGATGTAATGTAAAACTAATACTCTCTTCTTGGAAGTTCTGTTTTGACTTCTTTTCTACCTTTTTCCTCCTTTATGCTTAGTCCATATCACTCAGTCCCACACTATGGAATCCATGTCTTTCACCTACCAGCACTCCTCTACCTCTGTCAGTATCGCCACTAAGCCTTCCAGTTCTCGCATGCTTCTTGATTCTGATTCTGACTCAGAGGAAGAACCTTTGTCTTGTTCCCACAGCCCTACAGAAGTTGATAGCACAGGTGACATCCCTGAGAACTGTTTGGTTTTGTTCTTACTGTGTCCTTTCCTTTCTCTCAGAACTAACACTATTAACACATTATTTAAAAACCATAAATAATCTGGCAGTAAACACAGTGCAGCGGCAGTAAACACTGCAGTCAGACATGAAAACAATTTGCATGAAGAAATAGCTGACCTGTTTTCTCTGAAAGTCTGCAGATGCTTGCTGCCATGTGTAAATCCACCATTTTTATTAAAGCATTGGAGAAATGATCCTTAGAGCCTTGCTTCCAGGGCAGCCTCTGCCCAGTATCTGCAGCTGTCTGTATGACCCTGAGATACTGGGTACCAAAAAGTCAGATCTTTTCCTTTCTGTCCAGCGTGGGGACATGTGACTCACCTCCATCTGAATGTAGTTACTTGCACCTACATGCAAGTTCCGTCTTCTGAGCGTTACATTGTTTTGCCTTAATTTGAATCTTATGTTTGGTTCTCCTATGGTAAGGTGAGCACATTCTACTCCGTTTTCCTGCTACGTAAAGCACAGAATGAAATTATAGCTCTGATAAAACATGGGTTTGTGCTCCTAATTCATTTTATATGACGACACATACGCTGTGTTGAACAAAACTGTTTAATGTTAATGTCGGAGGTGGGGTTTTTTAATTGCATTCAAATTTCTGTTTGTCACTTGAGGTTTCTTAAAAGTTTTGGAATGCATTTCCATTGAAGCCAAAACTTGGTTTTGAATATTGACAGTACTTCATCAAACTTGAGTAAAGAATCACGCGTTTCCTCTCTTTTCCTCATTCTCTGTTTTTTGCTGAGGCAAATGAATCATTAAGCATATAAATTCTTCCTTGGTAGCTGCTGTTGTGGTATCTGCATGGTTGTGTTTTGTTCTAAAGTAAGAATCATACCTAAGCTAGGACTTTTTGCTGACGTGATTACAACAGATTTGAGGTATGATGGCTCTGTTTTGGGGTTCTTTTCCCCTTCCTAGTGCTTATAAGCATGTACTATGAAAATTCTGGAGTATTTTGCCCTTTCTCTGATATGCTAGTGTAGAATGAACACCAGAAATGAAGAGGTGTAACCAGAAACTCTTCATTTTGTCCAATTTCATGCGTATCTTTTTCGTATTAAAGATTACGGAGAAAAATAGGAAATACATGAATGCACTGGGGTTTGTTTCACACCACTAATAAACTACACATTTTCTGGATGTGGGGAAGCATCTTTTTGCATCAGTGTTGTGCATGCTGCCCTTTGTATCAGGTGTAGTTGAGAGGAGCATTTTAAAGTGGCTGGTATAAGGCAAAATGTGTGTTACAGAACGACGTGATGTACTAATTACTATCTGTTACGATATGTTAAACATGGAGAAGAGTTGGCAAATGCCCTTTGAGGAGAAAGAAAATTCCTTTTGCATTTTTGAGGCATGAACAAAACAACTGTTCTTGTGGTTTTGTCTTTGTTAATACTGGAGGCATCAGAATTTTGGACTTGGAGGTTCCTTGTGAACAGCAGAAGGTAGCTGCTAGGGAAACTCCTCAGAAGAATAGTATGCAACTGAGTAGTTCCTTTTAATAAAACATAGGGGAAAGAAATTCCTGTGGTAAGTGTAACTACAGCAGTAGGGTCAAAGGCCATGAGATACTGGGTACTACCAAGCACTAGGAAAGTGTGATCCAGGTGAACCTGTCATTGCTGCTGAGGGGTGTGTGTGTCACACTACAGCTGAGCTGTTAGGACTGTTGACAAATCCAGTCTGACCAACGTGCCAGTGTAATGTAAAATTCTGCAAGCGTGTGGAAGGGCAGCTGAACTTCGGCAAGGCCTAAGGATTAGCCAAAAATTACTTATTTTGAAACAGAAAGCCTAAGGAGATTTAGGCAAAATTAGGAAAAAGAAAAATTTGCAGAGGAAAAGAAAAAAAATAGAAACCAGAATACTAAACTTGTGGAGTTTTACCTGGGGTATAGAAGACATAGGTTCATTGGTAATGGTAGTTTGCCTTGTTTTGTCTTGAACTGGACATTGTGGGCTGTACTAATACCTTCAGATGCTGTTTTGAGAGGTAAAGGTTGACAGACATAAGCATTGAAAAAAGGTTACTAAAGTGAATGTGTGTGCTATAATTGCAAGTTTGCTCTTCCCCTTCTTCCTCGTGCCTACTAGTGTTTTCTGGCTGCATTGTGAGTGATTGGCTGTATTAGGGAATACATGATTTAACTTATTCCTGAAAATTTACTGTTAAATACTTTCCAAGACCTTATGGTTTTAAATAGTTTGTGTTGTCATGTTTGCTCTCTTGCTTTATTACTGATCTTTTGATAACTATTTTTAAATGCACAGTAGTCTCAAGAATAATGTTTTGTGAGTATTTATGTTATAATATGGAACTGTTTTCAGAATCCAGATTGGAGGGCTGGCTGTCACTGCCTGTTAGAAATAACACCAAGAAATTTGGATGGGTTAAAAAGGTAAGGAAAACGAACCTCCCATCTCCTTTCATGCGCCATCTGGATTTTACACTTAGTGAAGGTTTTCAGCACTTTAGTATGTTCTCTCATTACTTAAATGTATAACATAATGTTAGCTGCTACAGCTGTGCCTGCGTGGCAGGTTAAGACACTTTATCCAGACAGAGGTGAGAACAGCCATCCATGATCTTCAAACATTTGTATATTCTGTCGTGAGCATTCTCAGCAGTATTACGTGGCTGGAATCCAGCAGTCTGGAAGCCAGTGCCCTCGACAAATCCTTTATTTAGGAGGTAAAACTAACTACTGATCTGCCTTCTGCAGCCTTCGCTTGTTTACTGCTTTTCAGTTATCACTTCGATGGGTTTTTCCCCCAAAGAGTAGCATACACATTTTCATACAAGTTCACTTTCTGCTCAAACTGTTCACTCTGGGCAACATTCTGGAAATAGGAGGTCTTCTAGGTAACTAACTTCTTTATGAAAATTGGGGAGCGTAACAGTGATCTCTGAGTATGATCCGTGTTAGTTGTGTACTGCACACGTGGAATAGGAATCATAAGATTACTCTCGCTGGCTTCACTCTCGCTGAGTGAAAATTAAATCAGTAAAATAGAAATGAAAAGCTTTTATCTTCCTTTCTTCTAGACTTTCATCTCTTCATAGATACTTAAATCTGTTTAAATATCAATCTGATAACATAGAGTGATTTATCAGGTAATCAGAATTTAGTTTGTTGTGCAAAGAATTTATTGGCAAATCACGTACTTGGCATACATTACCACTGTTGTCCATTTACCATTTAATAAAACTCTAGAAAAATATTGCTGTGACATCTTTGACATCTGCGATGAGCTGCTTTAAGACGTGTGTTTTGTCGTCTTCTGTCCCCTAACAGTACGTAATTGTAAGCAGCAAGAAGATCCTATTCTATGACAGCGAACAAGATAAAGAACAATCTAATCCCTACATGGTATTAGATATAGAGTAAGTATTGTCATGTGACATTCCTTCTCTGATTTTCAGAATGTGGCTATTGAGAGGTTGGGGTGTGGGGAGAGGATTGTGTTAGAAAGCTACTGGTGGTCATCAGAATCACATGATGTTTCTTTTCCAGTGCAAATGTGAAATTGTTGGGTTTTGGGGGCGGTGTGTGGGTGTGTTTGGTTTAGGTGTTTTTTTTCTTTTTTTTTTTTTTTTCCCAAATATAACAGGATACTTGTGCCTGTTTATATAGGGTTTTTGGAAATTCATGTGCAGGATTGAAGGATAGGACTTTAATCCAGTGATTAGAAATTTGTACTGACAAATCTTTACTGGCTCTAAGTTACTGTGACATGTTGTGCCCTAACTTCATCTGTCCATTTAAATTTATCACTTTAGTAACGCTAATTTTCATCTTTATTAAACTAATTTCCCATAGCAAACTCTTCCATGTCCGACCAGTCACTCAGACTGATGTGTACAGAGCTGATGCCAAGGAAATTCCGAGGATATTCCAGGTATCCAGTAATAATTTGCTTCTAGTGGAGCAAACATAGTGTTTCACACATTGTCAAAAGTATTTTCATAACTTTGTCTAATGAAATATTTACTAGAAAATTACTGGAAAAAATAAATTCCAGTGTAATTCTTTAATCTTTCTGCTTGGATAATTATTCTGGATTTACATTTGTCCTCCGGGAGTACTCAGATTATTTTGCTTTGATTCTAGATTCTATATGCTAATGAAGGAGAGAGCAAAAAGGAACAGGAATTTCCTGTGGAGCCCATGGGAGAGAAGTCAAATTACATTTGTCACAAAGGACATGAGTTTATACCTACTCTTTATCACTTTCCGACCAACTGTGAAGCTTGTATGAAGCCTCTGTGGCATATGTTTAAACCTCCTCCTGCTCTGGAATGTCGCCGTTGCCATATCAAATGTCACAAAGATCACATGGATAAAAAAGAAGAGATTATAGCACCTTGCAAAGGTAAAGAGCAAGTATTTGAATATGCGTGCAGGCGCTGGCGTCGCAAGGCATCCTGGGAGATCGGAGGGCTCCAGGGATGGTCTGGCACCAACTTTTACCAGCCTGGAGCCGTCGGAACCTCTCTAGGGGTGGCTACGCAAGGATCAGCTGGCTGCTGTGGGTTAGTGGTGCGTGGCTGAGACACTAACATGCCTGTGGTGCCGTCAGCCTCAGGCAGCGGCGCGTGATAGCTGTACGGCTGCTCACACGGTGTTGTGTGACGCCGCTGTGCGGAACGGCGGCGTTGGTGCGTGTTACGAAATAGGGGACAGCTGGTCGAGTTCCCTCCATGGGACTCGTGTGACAGAATTCCTGGGGCTCAGGCACACCTCTCTGTGTTACCATCCCTTGTTTTTTTCCTGTGTGATTGTGTGTATCTTCCATAGTACTAAGTTGGAGGAGGTGCTGTCAGCAGCTGGGAAACCTCAAGTTTGGCAAAATTCTGGTTCACTTTGCTTTTGATTTCTTTGCTGACTTCATGTTGACTGTGAGAGTATGGTAACCTGACAACTGATTTTTGACGTGGGGGCGTGTTCAGAATAATAACAATATCCATTTTTATATTCAAAATTCTTATTACAGTGTATTATGATATTTCAACGGCAAAGAATCTACTACTGTTAGCTAATTCTACGGAAGAGCAGCAAAAATGGGTGAGCCGACTGGTGAAAAAAATACCCAAGAAGCCTCCGGCACCAGATCCCTTTGCTCGATCTTCTCCCAGAACTTCCATGAAGGTACAGCCAAACCAGTCCATCAGACGACCAAGTCGACAGCTTCCGCCAAACAAACCAAGGTGACACAAGAGCTGCCATTTAATTTATTGTGTTAAATGTTTTACTACAGTTAGTGCTGTGCGTGCTGCTAATGGATCACAGATGATGTGGGCTACTGCCGTGAGATCCAGCAGGTCACCTTCTATAAACCTCCGTTATTGGAAGTTAGTCCTTTGTTCCCGTGTTTAAAGGGCATTGTGTTACCGCTTTGTCGATGCCATCGCGCTGTTGCTCTTAGGTGTAACATTCTCTGTAGCCTAATAGTTCCCGTGCACTGGCAGCAGTAGGGAAAATGGGGTTTAACTAGGCAACGCATTGGTGAGAAGGTTTAAAAATACTAAAAAAGTTTTAACAAGTTTCAAGATGGTCTCTGCTGTACCTGGTGGGAAGTTGAGCGGTGAAGTCAGGTGACTGTGGCTCTGATGAACCCTGCAGAGAAGTACAGGCCTTCAGGAGGCAGTCTAGAAGGCTTTACACGTAGCGAACGACACGTCCTTTGTTTCCTGTTGCTTGGTTTGGAGGCATGTGTTGGAATTCCTGCCCCCCTCTGAGGTTACATGCCAGGTTGCGGATCCGCGCATCAGGGTTTGTTTCCTCTGACCAGGTGTGTGTATCCACCTCTGACTCCATTTACAGTTGATAATTAGGAGGAGTTGTTTTCAGCATTTGCGTCCTCTGGGTGGAGGAAAGGAGTGTACAGCACGCTCCTGGACGTGAGCAGTGACGAGCTGGTGCAGATGAATGTCACTGGCACCTCTGCCCTGGTGGGCTGCACAGCCTGGAGCTGGCTGCTGCAGTGGTGGGCACCCGCCTGAGCATCAGCACGCCTTTTGTGAGGGAGCAGGAGCATGGGGGTGAGGAGGGGTCACCACCCCTCAAGTCAAGTTCTTGACCCCGGTCAAGGAGCTGGAGCACTTGTCAGAAGGTGGGAGAACTGGTTTCAATCCCTTATTCAGTGTGGAAGGACTCATGATCATGTCTCGTGATTCCCAAAAGAGCAGTCTTGCCGAGTTTCTAATCTGGGACAAAAATGTCCATACAAGAACCAGTAAACGACTAGTGGATCAGTTTTAGGGAGCAAAATGCTGGGCTGTGGGAGTGATAACGTTCCGCAGGCAGTGTTTACGTGATTGCACCGTATGGAATTTCTGTTTCCTTGCAGTTTGCTTTCTGCATCACCTGGAGGACTTGGTTGTCCCAGTCCCCAGTTGCTGACAGCCTGTGAGAAGCGTGGTCTGATGGGTTTCGTTCGTGGCAGCAGCCAGGGCTTCGCGCTTTAACCCCGCAGAGAACTCGGTGCTGGCTGGGCGTGTTCTCTCCCTGGTTCTGTGGCCAGAAAAAACCTGGCTGGCTGGCAACAGGGTTGGGGGAGTGGGCAGAGCAGCGGCAGGGTGTGAGCGTGCTCCTGCTGCGACACTGCTCTTACCACTGAAGGGCCTTACGCAGCAAGGAGCTGGATCTTAAAAGAACATTGGTGACGTGTGGAAATGCATAGTGAAACGACTCAAAAGTAACGTAATTTCGCTTCCCTCCTAACTACCGCGCAGTCTTTGATTTACTGTGGATATTTGAAAGAGATTCACCCTCATAATTTGGATTTTAAATTATTAGACTTTTATTATAACCATTGTCGTGGTTTAACTCTGGC